GGATCACGAGGTCAAGAGATTGAGACCATCCTGGTCAACATGGTGAAACCCCGTCTCTACTAAAAATACAAAAAATTAGCTGGGCATGGTGGCGCGTGCCTATAATCCCAGCTACTCAGGAGGCTGAGGCAGGAGAATTGCCTGAACCCAGGAGGCAGAGGTTGCGGTGAGCCGAGATCGCGCCATTGCACTCCAGCCTGGGTAACAAGAGCGAAACTCCATCTCAAAAAAAAAAAAAAAAATCCAGTAGAGAGGTGAAGGACTGACACTACTCAACTTTTGAGACTTACTGTAAAGCTACAGTAATGAAGGTGGTTTAGTATTTTTTTTTTTTTTTTTGAGACGGAGTTTTGCTCTTGTTGCCCAGGCTGGGGTGCAATGGTGCAATCTCAGTTTACTGCAGCCTCCACCTCCTGGGTTCAAGTGACTCTCCTGCCTATTACAGGCATACGCCACCACACCTGGCTAATTTTGTATTTTTAGTAGAGATGAGGTTTTACCATGTTGGTCAGGCTGGTCTTGAACTCCAGACCTCAGGTTATCCACCAGCCTCGGACTTCCAAAGTGCTGGGATTACAGGCATGAGCCACCATGCCCCGCTGGTGGTATAATATTGGTGAAAGAATAGATCAATGGAACAGGATAGAGAGCCCAGAGATAGATTCACATAAATATAGTCAACTGCTCTGTGACAAAGGAACAAAGCAATATAATAGAAGAGTGATAATGTTTTTTAAAAAATGGTGCTGGAACAACTGGACGTTCACGTGCAAAAATGTGAATCTAGACACAGAGATTAACTCAAAATAGATAACAGACCTAAATATATAATGCAAAGCTGTAAAGCACCTAGCAGATAACAGAAAATGTACATGACCTCGGGATTGGCCTTGACTTTTTAGAAACACCACCAAAGGCATGATCTATGAATGAGGTAATTTATAAGCTGGGCTTAATTAAAGTGACAAATTCTCCAAAAGACACTGTCAAGGAAATGAAAAGAAGGGCTGGGCATGGTGGCTGACACCTGTAATCCCAGCACTTTGGGAGGCTGAGACAGACAGATCACTTAAGGTCATGAGTTTGGGACCAGCCAGGCCAACATGGTGAAACCTGTCTCTACCAAAAATACAAAAAATTCACCGGGTGTCGTGGTGGGTGCTTGTAATCCCAGCTACTCAGGAGGCGGAGGCAGAATTGCTTGAACCCTGGAGGCGGAGGTTGCAGTGAGCGGAGACTGTGCTACTGCACTTCAGCCTGGGCAACAGAGACTCCATCACAAGTAAAAAAAAATGAAAAAATGAAAAGCTACCTACTGGAAGAAAATATTTGCAAAAGATATATCTGATAACGGACTTACCCAAAATATACAAAGAACTGCTAAAACTCAATACTAAGAAAATGAACAACTCAATTAAAAAGTGAGGCTGTCGCAGTGGCTTACGCGTGTAATCCCAGCACTTTTTGAGGCCGAGGTAGGCAGATCACATGAGTTTGGGAGTTCCAGACCAGCCTGGCCAACATGGCGAAAATTTAGTCTCTACTAAAAATACACAGTTTAGCAGGGCATGGTGGCATATGTCTGTAATCCCAGCTGATCTAGAGGTTGAGGCAGGAGATTTGCTTGAACCCAGGAGGTGGAGGTTGCAGTGAGTTGAGATCACGCAACTGCACTCCAGCCTGGATGACAGACTCCGTTTCAAAAAAAAAAAAAAAAAAAAATGGGTCAAAGACCTTAACAGACACATCTTCAAAAAAAGAGATGGCAAATAAACATATGAAAAGATGCTCCACGTCATATGTCATTAGGGTAATGCAAATTAAAACAAAGATACTGCTACACACCTGTTAGAGTGGCCAAAATCCAGAAGACTCAACAACACTAAATGCTGGTGAGAATGTAGAACTGATGGAAATGCAAAATGGTAAATCTCTTTTGGAGGACAGGTTGATTTTTTTTTGAGATGGAGTTTCACTCTTATTGCCTAGGCTGGAGTGCAATGGCACAATCTTGGCTCACTGCAACCTTTGCCTCCCAGGTTCAAGTGATTCTCCTGCCTCAGCCTCCCAAGTAGCTTGGTTTACAGGAGCCCACCACCGTGCCCGGCTAATTTTGTATTTTTTTTTTTTTTTTTGAGACGGAGTTTCACTCTTGTTACCCAGGCTGGAGTGCAATGGCGCGATCTCGGCTCACCGCAACCTCCACCTCCTGGGTTCAGGCAATTCTCCTGCCTCAGCCTCCTGAGTAGCTGGGATTACAGGCACGCGCCACTATGCCCAGCTAATTTTTTGTATTTTTAGTAGAGACAGGGTTTCACCATGTTGACCAGGATGGTCTCGATCTCTTGACCTTGTGATCCACCCGCCTCGGCCTCCCAAAGTGCTGGGATTACAGGCTTGAGCCACCGCGCCCGGCCTCTATTTTTTTTAAATTTTTATTATTTTTTTATAATGACGGGGTTTCACCATGTTGGTCAGGCTGATCTTGAACTCCTGACCTCAGGTGATCCGCCCGCCCTGACCTCCAAAGTGCTAGGATTACAGGCGTGAGCCACCACGCCCGGCCAATTTTGTATTTTTTAGTAGAGACTGGGTTTCCCCATGTTGGTCAGGCTGGCTGGTTTCTAACTCCTGACCTTGGGTGATCCACCCTTCTCGGTCTCCCAAAGTGCTGGGATTACAGGCATGAGCCACCATGCCTGGCCTCAGGTTGATGATTTATTACAAAACTAAACATACTCTTACCATAGGATCTAACAATTGTACTCCTTCGTATTTATTCAAGGAGTTAAAAACATATTCACCCAAAAGCTGTACGTAGATATTTATAACTGCTTTATTCATACTTGCCAAAATGTGGAAGCAACCAAGATGTCCTTCAAGTGAATCGATAAATAAAACTGGCACATCTGGACAGTGAAATATTTCAGCACTAAAAAGAAATTAGCTATCAAGCCATGCAAAGACGTGGAGGAAACTGAAATGCATATTACTAAGTGAAAAAAGCCAGTCTGAAAAGGTTACATACCGAATTATTTCAACTACATGATGTTCTGAAAAAGGCAAAACTCTGAAGATGGTAAAATGATTAGTAGTTGCTAAGGGAGTGGGGGAGGGAGGGGTGAACAGGTGGAACACAGAGGTTTTTAGAGCAGTGAAACTGCTCTGTATGATACTATAATGGTGGATACATACCATTATACATTTTTTCAAACTCAGAAGGTATAACACCAAGAGTGAACCCTAATGTAAACTATGGGCTTTGGGTGATAATGTGTTAGTGTAGGTTTGTCAGTTGTAACAGATGTGCCATTCTGGTGGGTGACATTGATAATGGGGAAGGGTATTCATTTGTGGGGGCAGGAGGTATATGGAAGCCTCTGTGCTTTCCACACAATCGCTGTGAATCTAAAACTGCTCTAAAATAGTCTATTTTAAAAAGTGTTTTTTTTGGCTAGAGTTACAGAAAAAAAAAGGTAGGGTCAGGACCAGGCATGGTGGCTCATGCTTATAATCCCAGCACTTTGGGAGGCTGAAAGCAGGATGACTACTTGAGGCAAGGAATTTGAGACCAGCCTGGGCAACATAGGGAGACCCCCCTCTCAAAAAGAAAAAAGTTTGTATTTTAATTAGCCAGGTGTGATGACGCAGGCCTGTAGTCCCAGCTACTTGAGCTGCTGAGGCAGGAGGATCACTTGAGTCTGGAGGGGTTAAGGCTGCTATGAGCTACGATGGTGCCACTGCACCCTAGCCTGGGCAGGGACAGAGCGAGACCCTGTTTTAGGGCCTTTGCACTTACTGTTCCTTCTGCCAGCATGTTCCACTCTCCCTCTCCCATGTCTGCTTGGTTGCTTTTTTGTCAATGTTCAGATCGAGTTATTTTCTTCGAGAAGACTTCCCGGTTCACCATACCACCATTCTCATACTGGTGCGTGCACACGCACACACACACGCACGCACACACACACACCTTTCTCCCTTATCCTGTTTCACCTTTTTACAGAACTCAGTACTGTCTGAAATGTTCTTGTTTGTGGTCTCCTGCCACTAAACCCCGGAGGGAAGTTTTGCTCTGTATTATTCCCCATCATCTAAAACAGTATTTGGCACAAGACGTTCAACAACCTGAATTAATGAACAGTGGACATGATTTTGACAAAGTAGGTTCCCTGCAATAAGTGTGACTGTAGTGGGGAGACGTTAAAAAAATTAAAATTGTATATGCTTAGTGGGAACACAGGATCCTCTAAATTAGCCCTGAGAATTTACATAGGTACATGCAATGGAACGGTTCATACAAGGCTCATAACAGTTATGTAAGGCTCTTGCCATAATGTATTATGCAATTTTAAGATTGTAACGTAGCTGGCGAAAATGAGGTCACATCTTGCCATTTTCTTCCCCTCGAAAAATTTTATGTGGAAAATTTTCTTTCACTTCCTCATTTACTTCCTTTTCCTCTAACCTAAATGGTAAAGCAGCTGTAAATGCTATCTTCCAAGGGAAGCGAGAAATACGGTTTGGTCTCTGAGTCTGCGTAGTGAACGGCTCACTGGAGCTGGCGCATGCGCATCTTCTGTGGTGCTGCAAGATGTCTGCCGGCCATTTTGTCGCGCGTCGCTGCCCCGAGGAGTTGGCGGCGATGGCTGCAGCCGCCAAAGACTAACAGTGGTCTCAGTGGTGGGAATTTTCTGTTTCTGTTGTGTGAGCTAAACGCTCCCAAGACAGCGACCCAAGACAACAAAAGGCGGGGCGGGGCGGAGCGGTGGAGCGCCTCCCTCTAACCTTAGTTGTACCAGCTCCCTCACCCTTCCCTCCTAGTTTTTGCTGCCCGCTGCACGCTGACCTTCTGCGCAGGCGCACAAATAATCGAAGCGCTTCCTGGACCCTGGGGGCTTCAGAGCTCCTGCGCGCGCTTCTGGTTTTCCATTCCTGATTGGTCAGGTTGCCCCGCCATCACGCCTCTTTCTGCTTTCAAGGTTGAGAAGGAAGCGGGGGGGGCGGGGCCAAGCGGCGCGTGCGCGATACTGTTGCTACCCCTTTGCTGCTATTGCGTTGCAAAAAAAAAAATCCTGACTGGGTAGCCTTGGACCTTTTCTGTGCTAGCGAGTCTAAAGGAGAGAGAGATTTCTGCAACTGAAGGGGCAGTCGGGTAGTATTAAATTTAAGATATTAACGCCCGACTTGGCTCACAGGAGTGTGAGGACGGGCGGGGAAGGGCCTTAGCACTGAGAGCCGAAAAGTATAAAACCATTAGTTTCGGCGTCAGGCGTTTTGGAAGGCTTTGCAGGTCCTGTTTTCCTCGTAGTTTTTCCGTGATTACTGACTGGTTTAAACACGACCCCTTGAACAATATTGGTAAAACCTCCGAGACCCGCAGCCCCTCCTTGCAGTGTGTAGGAGCTGCCAGCGTGCCCAGCAGCTTGTGTTCCCGTCCGTACCTCCGGAGGAGCCCGGCGCGTGCACCATCCCCACCCCCTGGCCTCCCTCCCCACCTACGGCTTTCACGCACTCGCAGTGATTGTTTTGCCCGCTCCCGCCGCCGCTGCCGCCAGAGGAGCAGCAGCGCTTGTGCAAACCGGGAAGATGGCGGCCGGCGGCGGCGGAGGCAGCAGTAAGGCCTCCTCCTCGTCGGCCTCTTCAGCAGGGGCTCTGGAGTCCTCGTTGGATCGAAAATTCCAGTCTGTAACCAACACCATGGAATCCATTCAAGGCTTGTCGTCTTGGTGTATAGAGAACAAGAAACACCACAGTACTATCGTCTACCATTGGATGAAGTGGCTCCGGAGATGTGAGTGTTGGGGGTGACTAAGGAAGGGAAGGCTGGGGAAATGGAAGGAAATATGTCCCGAAACGCTTGAGGTTTACCCACGGAGCCACTGCATTTGGTTGGGGTTGTTCACATTAAAGGTTTGGCCCGAGTGTTCCCAAACCCAGACTCCATTCCTAGCCAGGATTGTCCTGAACTAGGAGACTCATTTCTTGGGTTTTTTGGCCATTGACTTGTTGTGACCTTGGGCCGTTGGGCCCAGATCCATAGAGATTTACCTGTTTTTAAAAATATATATTTCAGAGCCTCGTAGGGTGTGTTGTTGATTTTTCCGAACCTTCGCGGAAATTGTCGCGTCCGTTTATTTCTTACAGGCCTTGACATGTTAATGATTTCTGGCTTTCCTGATGGTAGGCAAGCTGTGGTTTTAAGCAGTAGTAAATCCAGTGATGTTTAATAAGGAGTGCCTTTTCTGGATGAATGTATCTAAAACTTGTGATGTGTAGTAAGGAGAGCCTTACCGGGATGAATGTTAAGAAGCAGCATGAGCTCTACATAGATCGGAGGCACCACCGGGTTTCCTCTGTACCTGTGTTTGCTGCAATAAAATACAGATTTCTTGGATACTGACCAGAAACAACTGCGATACTGTCGTCAGTATTATCATTAATACCTTAAAATATAAAGCGTGTCGGAGATGGAGTTTTGCTCTTTTCGCCCAGGCTGGAGTGCAGTGGTGCGATTTCGGCTCACTGCAACCTCCGCCTCCCGGGTTCAAGGGATTCTCCTGCCTCAGCCTCCCAAGTAGTTGGGATTACAGGCGCCCCCACCACATCCGGCTAATTTTTTGTATTTTTAGTAGAGACGGGGTTTCATCGTGTTGGCCAGGCTGGTCTCGAACTCCTGACCTCAGGTGATCCACCCACCTCGGCCTTCCAGAGTGCAGAGATTTCAGGCATGAGCCACCGCGCCCGGCCCAGTTACTTTTGAATTACCTGAAATACTTTTTTACACAATTGAGTTGATTTCATAGGTAATGACAACAAGAAATGTGCTTTTTGAATATGTAGTACCTTTTTCTCTAGTAATGTCTTTTTTTTTTTTTTTTTTTTTTTTTTTTGTCTTTATCCTGGAGGTTTTTCCATTTTGCTGCTTTACTGCAGAAACGAGCTCTGTTAAAGCATGAATTGTTTGCAAAAGGTTTAAATCTTATAGGAGGAAGTGTGGAGAAGTCACTCTTGGTTCCTGCTGAGAAGAGAGGGTTAACTCTTACTCCATATATATCTATTAGAATTTTTCTTTGCTTCCTGCCTGCGGCATTTCACCAGTGAGACCCATCATCCAGTTATTCTGCCTTACTCTACTTCTGCCATTGCTCCTACAGTGTTTTGTTTTGTTTACCTTTTAGAGAACAGACAGATAAAGCTTTCGAAATTATCGGCCCCATGCTTCAAACTATTTGTGTTTAAAGTTTTGGGAGGGATATTTTGTGGTTCTTTGAATAATAATGCAGAGAAATTATAGAGACAAAACAGAATTACCTGTGTTTACCAATAGCAGATCAAATATTTTCTTGCCCAGAGGTAAAATTATAACGTGCAAAAATCAAATATGCTAACAGTCATCATCAGAAACTCACATGTTAAGTATCTGCTATGTGCCCAGTCATCTCATTGTACCTTAAAATCATCTGAGAAGTAGATTTTTAAATCACTGATTTACAAACGAGAAAACTAAGGCTCAGAAATGTTAACTTGCTGAAGGTTACTCAGTAAAATGGTGGGGTTAGGATTTGACTTCAGCATTAACTTTGTAAAATAATGATTAATGTATTTGGTATGCCAGTGATATATTGCAAGCAGTTCTAATGTGAGAGAACTTATTCTCCACCCTATTTTAAAACATTTTTACTAAACTATACAAGCATTTTATACTTCCTCACCTTTGGGCTCTGGGGCTTTAACTGTTTGGTTCCATCGTTTGCAAGAATAAGTTGGTCCCTGTCCCATTCCCGCTGTGTGGGATCACAAGTGAGGATTGTAGTCTTTTTCTAGTCAGCAATAATGAGATACAATGAAGCCAGAATTTTTTACCTCTGCTGTTGTTGCTGTTCTGTCTGAGCATATTTCCTTTGTTGATACCTTTTTGAGATGGAGTCTTGCTCTGTTTCCCAGGCTGGAGTGCAGGTTGCAGAGCTATTTTGGCTGCCTGCAACCTCCGCCTGCCGTGTTCAAGTGATTCTCCTGCCTCAGCCACCTGAGGAGCTGGGACTACAAGTGCAAGCTACCCCGCCCGGCTAATTTTTTGTATTTTTAGTAGAGATGGGATTTCACCATGTTAGCCAGGATGGTCTCGATCTCCTGACCTCGTGATATGCCGTCCTTGGCCTCCCAAAGTGCTGGGATTACAGGCGTGAGCCACCGCGCCCTGCCTGTTGATACCTAAGAGTGAAAAAATGATTGCTTCAGGAGGGCAGTGGTTCAGTTGAAGTGCATTGTGTATAGCTTATATAGTTAAGTGCTTTTGGCTAAAACAACTTCATACTTTGATGCTGTTTCTAGTGGAATGGAATTTAACTTTCTAAAACGGTTAAGATTAGTTTTAGACGTTTTGTATTTACATTTAAAGAACTTCATTGATCTCATTGTAAATAAAGCGTTTTGAGAGAAATATTCGGCAGAGTGGTGTGGGGCACAATGAAAACAGTTTATGCATTGGGCCTTGTTTTCATTTAAGTTCTTAATTCTTTACAGTTAGACTTAGTTTAAGTTTGGTTTCTAAGTTAGCTTTGGGAAAAATTGTGAAGTAGGCATCTTTGGCTTTCTCAGCCTTGCTGTCCATTTTCCTGATGCCACTTTGCTTATCTCTTTTCTTCTGACATCCATTATTTGGTAATTTATATTTAGACCTCAGGATAAATTTAAGTAACTGTTAGCTATTCCAGAGATATTTTTATTTTATCCTTTATTTCATAATGCGTAATGAGACTTTTGTTTGTATTAAAGGAAATAATTTAGAGAAATGGCTACCTGAGGATATGTTCCATCGATGAGTTCTTTAAATTTGCTTGACTAGCATTTATTACCATTATTTTCTAAAGTGATCTTTCTGTAGCATAAGCAAATGTCATTCCTCTGCTTTAAAACCCTGCAGTGATATCCCATTGCAGTAAGGTGAAGATCTAAATTTCTTTTACATTGATATATAAGTCCCATACCATCTGCCCTGCCTAGGGCTTCTTCACATCCTGCTTACTTCTCATTGTTTAAGATCTAAGCTCAAATATTACCCCTTCAGAAAGACCTTCTTTGATCACCTTATTTCTGTTTGTTTGTTTGTTTGGAGATGGAGTCTTAATAGATTTTTTAAATTACATGTATCTGTTTATCTTTATTTTATTTTATTGAGACACAGTCTCTCTCTGTTGCCCAGGCTGGAGTACAGTGGCGCGATCTCAGATTACTGCAACCTCTGTTTTTCAGGTTCAAGTGATTCTCTTGCTTCAGCCTCCCAAGTAGCTGGGGTTACAGGCGCACACCACCGAGCCCAGCTTTTTTTTTTTTTTTTTTGAGACAGAGTTTCGCACTTGTCACCCAGGCTGGAATGTTGAGAAATAGCTAATCAAGAACTTAAGGAACAACAGAATTGTTTTAATTTCTGTCTATCTGAAGGAAGCATTGATAATTTAGTGAAAGAAATTACAAATATAGTAGTTGGAAGTATATGGACTTGATGTGCAACTTTCCCAGATTATCATTTCTATATTTCATTCTTTCTCTCTCTCTCTCTGTCTCTCTCTCTCTCCTTTTTTTTTTTTTTTTTTTTGAGACAGAGTCTTACTTTGTCACCAAGGCTGGAGTGCAATGGCACGATCTCAGCTCACTGCAACCTCCACCTCCTGGGTTCAAGCCATTCTCCTGCCTCAGCCTCCCGAGTAGGTGGGACTACAGGTGCATGCCACCATGCCCAGCTAATTTTTTGTATTTTTAGTAGAAACGGGGTTTTGCCTTGTTAGCCAGGTTGGTCTCCATCTCCTGACCACCATCTCCTGGATTCAAGCAATTTTCATGTCTCAGCTTCCTGAGTAGCAGGGATTACACGTGCATGTCACCATGCCCAGCTAATTTTTGTATTTTTTAGTAGAGATGGGGTTTTACCATGTTGGCCAGGCTGGTCTCAAACTCTTGATCTAAGTGGTCCACCCGCCTTGGCCTCCCAAAGTGCTGGGATTACAGGCGTGAGCCACTTCACCTGGCCAAATTTTTGTTTTTTTGTAGAGACAGGGTCTTTCCATGTTGCCAAGGCTGAACTCCTGGGCTCAAGCGATCTGTCTGCCTTGGCCTCCCAAAGTGGTAGGATTACAGGCATGAACCACTGGGCCCAGCCATTCTTTCCCATTTTTAATGTCAAGTGGGAATCAATATGGAAAAGTATAAAAACACAGGCTTTTAGAATTAGGCCTATGTTTACATATTAACTCCAGTCACTTTTTTACTTAAACTACAGTTTTTCATCTATAAGTAGTTCTCTGCTTCACATAGAAAACATTTAAATTATTTATTATTTATTTATGATGATAAAAATTATGATGATGGTTATGCAGAGAAAGTCTCAAGATCTGGAGTATTCAAAATAATTACATCAGAATTTTGTTTTGGGCACAGTGCTGGAAATTATATTCCCAGATTATGAGAGACAAATTAGACCAGCCTCTCTAGTAAATTAGCTTATGCTCTGAAGAACTAGTAGGACAAAATGGAAAATATTGTGTTCATGACATCCGTTTTGTCCTTCTTTTGAGACAGATTCTTGCTCTGTTGCCCAGGCTAGAGTGCAGTGGCATGATCTCAGTTTACTGCAACCTCCGCCTTCCGGGTTCAGATGATTCTCCTGTTTCAGCCTCCCTAGTAGCTGGGATTACAAGTGTGTGCTAACACACCTGGCTAATTTTTGTATTTTTAGTAGAGATGGGGTTTTACCAGGTTAGCCAGGCTGGTCTGGAACTTCTGACCTCAAGTAATCCATCCACCTCAACCTCCCAAAGTGCTGGGATTATAGGCATGAGCCACTTTGCCCAGCTATCCATTCTGTCTTGTTTCTGACTATTGAATGGTTTGGTTTGTTTTGGAAGGTACCAGAGTTTAAGTAAGTTTCTGCAGGAAAAGTAAAAGGGTGATTGTTAATCAATTCTAGAGCAGAAAATCTGTTAAGGTGTTCTTTCAGCCATTCTATTCTATTCTATTCAGTTCTATTTTATTCTATTCTGTTCTATTCTTTTTTTGAGACAGGATCTCACTCTGTCACCCAGGCTGGAGTGGAGTGGTGTGATCACAGCTCACTGCAGCCTCTGCCTCCTCGGCTCAAGTGATCTTCCCACCTCAGCCTCCTGAGTAGCTGGGACTATAGGTGCACATCACCACACAGAGCTAGTTTTTTTGTAGAGGTGGGTTTTGCCATGTTTTCCAGGCTGGTCTTGACCTCCTGACCTCAAGCAACCCTCCCCCTTTGGCTTTCCAGAGTGCTGGGATTACAGACTCATTTTAGCTATTTTTGATAGAAACTTTAAATATGTATAAAAATAGAAGGGTAATGACCCCCGCCCTTTCTACTGATCTCCCCACTTCAGTAGTTATCACTTAACAGTCTTTTTTCATCTATTTCCTTTACCTCCTTTCCCTCAGTACTTTGAAGTAAATCCAGTATGTTTTTAACAAATGAAACATATAAACATAGACTAGAAAAAAAATCTCTTCATACAGGATTTTTTTTTCTTTTTTTTTTTTTTTTTGCAGAGAATTTACAAAGTACAGTTACCATTTTTATCTGTGCCAATGGTTTCTCAGTTTGGGTCTCAAGATCCTTAGATGGACTATGAAGCTGGTAATAATTTTATAGCTAACTTTTGTTAAGTGCTTACTACGTGCCAGGCACTGTTCTCTAACGATTTTACACAAACTAATTCATTCAGTTCTCACAACTCTTTTAAGTAGGTATCATTATGTTCTCCATTTTACAGATTAGAAAACAGAGGCATCAAGACCTTAAGTAACTTGCTCATGGTTACAGAGCTAATAGATGGTGGAGATGGAGACAGAATTCAAACCCAGCCATTCTTGATCTACCAGTATACACTCTTACCCACTGTCCTACATGGGCTTTCCTATTCATGTTTTCTACAGTGCAAGAAAAGTTTGATAGCTTGCTTATTTATTCAGGATTTAGACTATATAGATTAATTAGAATGTCAAGATTTTAAATTCTTGTATTTGTTTTTTTTTTTTCCCTCTCTGTGACAGAACTCTCTCTTAGTGATTTGAAGTTCTGATATGCATGTATTTATATTTTTGATTAATTTAAAAAGGGAAAACAAGTGGAACATAATTAGTGGAACATAAGTGTGTGGTGGCGCACACCTGTGGACCCAGCTACTCGGGAGGCTGAGGCAGGAGAATCACTTGAACCCAGGAGATGGAGGGTGCAGTAAGCCAGGATTGCGCCAGCCTGGGCAACAGAGCAAGACTCTGTCTCAAAATAAAAAAAAAATGGAACATAATTATTGAAGCTATCATCTGGGTAAAAACCTTTCTAAGTGTAACGTTCATTTAGATTGATGACATGTAGAATGTAACAGTATTGCCATAGGCATACAACTTTTTAATCACATATTATTTGTAAACAGATTAGTAATACAGGTGGGCTAGATACAGACCCTAACTTTGAGTTCTAAGGTGAAATTTGTTTATAAATCCCTAGTTTACATTCAGTTTTTTCAGTATTTATTGCACACCTACTGTTCCAGGAACTGTTTAGGCACAGGGGATACAGCGGGTGAACAGAATGAACAAAAATTTTTGTCTTGACAGAGCTTAAAATTTGGCCAGATGCGGTGGTGCACACCTGTGGTCCCAGCTACTTGGGAGGCTGAGGCAGGAGAATTGCTTTAACCCAGGAGGCAGAGGTTGCAGTGAGTTAGGATCGTGCCAGCCTGGGCAACAGAGCGAGTCTCCATCCCAAAAGAGAAAACACACACACACACACACACACACACACACACACACACACACAGAGCATATACTCTAGTAAGGGGAGACAGACAACAAACAAAATAAATAAAAAAATAAAACATTAAATATAATAGAAGGTGATAAATTTTCTAGAAAAACAGAAAGTAGGGCCAGGCATGATGGCTCACACCTGTAATCCCAGCACTTTGGGAGGCTGAGGCGGGTGGATTACCTGATGTCAGAAGTTCAAGACCAGCTTGCCAAACATGGTGAAACTCCGTCTCCACTAAAAATACAAAAAAAAAAGAATTAGCCGGGTGTTTGGCATGTGCCTGTAATCCCAGCTACTTAGGAGGCTGAGGCAGGAGAATCACTTGAACCCAGGAGGCGGAGCTTGCAGTGAGCCAAGATCCTGCCACTGCACTTTAGCCTGAGCGACAAGACCCAGACTTCGTCTCAAAAAAAAAAAAAAAGAAAAAAAAGAAAAAGAAAAAAGAAAAACAGAAAGCAGGGAAGGGGGAAACAGAGGGGTGTGCAGTTTTACATTAAAATAGTAAGGGAAGACCTCACTGAAAAGGTGACATTTGTTTTTTTGTTTTTTTGTTTGTTTGTTTGTTTGTTTTTTTGAGACGGAGTTTCACTCATGTTACCCAGGCTGGAGGGCAATGGCGCGATCTCGGCTCACCGCAACCTCCGCCTCCTGGGTTCAGGCAATTCTCCTGCCTCAGCCTCCTGAGTAGCTGGGATTACAGGCACGCACCACCATGCCCAGCTAATTTTTTGTATTTTTAGTAGAGACGGGGTTTCACCATGTTGACCAGGATAGTCTCGATCTCTTGACCTCGTGATCCACCCGCCTCGGCCTCCCAAAGTGCTGGGATTACAGGCTTGAGCCACCGCACCCGGCCGAAAAGGTGACATTTGAGTAGGGAGGTACGATACTAAATAATATGGACATGAGGGTATAAGGTGGGAATGTTCGATACTAAGTGAACAGAAAAAACAAAAGTCCTGAAGTTAGAGTGTGCCTGGTGAGTTTAGGGAGTAGCAAGAAAGCTTCTGTGGCTGCAAAAAAAGTAGTTAAAATCGAGATCAGCGGATGAGTTCAAAGAGATTATGGTGGGTGATGTTGGGGAGGGGCAAAATGGGATTCACCAGAGGTTTTATAGGCATTGTAAGGACTTTGGTTTTTATTCAGAGTGAGATGGGGATCCATTTCAGCAGAAAGGGAGTAGTTTGGCTCTTGTTGCCCAGGCTAGAGTGCAGTGGCATGATCTCAGCTCACTGCAACCTCCATCCCCCAGGTTCAAGTGATTCCCCTGTCTCAGCCTCTGGAGTAGCTGGGATTACAGGCACGTGCCACTACGTCCAGCTAATTTTTGTATTTTTGATAGAGACAGGGTTTCATCATATTGGTCAGGCTTATCTCGAATTCCTGATATCAGGTATCCGCGCACCTCAGCCTCCCAAAGTTCTGGGATTACTGGCGTGAGCCACCGCACCTGGCACTCGCTTGTTTTTAAAAGGTTATTCTGGTTGCTGCTGAAATGGGGATACCAATTAGATGACTGTTGTAATCCAATGTAAAATATTGATGGCTTAGACCAGGTTATCGCCAGTGGAAGTAATAAGTAATTTAATTCTAGATCTATTTTGAAAGTGGGTCCAGCCAGATTTCTGTATGGATTAAATGTGGGGTGAGAGAGGAGGAGAATAATCAAGAATGACTTTTTTTTTTTTTTGCTTGAGCAACTAGAAAGATTAGAGTTGACATTTATTGATAGGGGGAAGGTTGTGAGTGGAGCAGATTTTGGGAAGATGATGAGAAATTTAATTTTGGGTATGTTAGGTTTGGGATGTCTATTTTGAGAAATCTTTTTAAAGATGTAAGTCACAAAAAATATACTAATGTAAAGTATACAATTCAATTGTTTTAATATATTCATAGAGTTGTGCAGCAATCACCACAGGGTGTCTAATATATGGATTGTTTTTAGAGCAGGAAGCTGGAGGAGATGAACTAGAGAGAGTGTAGACAGGGGAGTAAATCTAGTAAGAGTAGCAAGTACAGATAGAGAAGAGGTCCAGAGAGAAGGCTGTGGTATTATGAAATCTATATTTGGCCTCTATCCCATTCCTGGCATACTGCTTCAGAAATCCTGGAATCTTCAGAGTGATGTGTCATTTTATATGCTAATGAGTCGACTGGGGGCATCCCCTGGGTAGCCTAAGGATGGAGAAAGAAAAAAAACTGGTCACTGGAAAGAACAAGGCAGGATTAGAGGTTGTGACTTTCCGCCCTATCCTCTAACGTTTGGGGAGGGGGGAAGGGCTAAAGGGATAAATTGAACACCAGTGACCAATAGTTTAATAAATTATGCCTTCATAAAACTTGCATAAAATTCCAAAAGGACTAGTTTCTGGAAGCTTCTAGCCAGCCAAACATGTGGAGGTTGGCATGCCCAGAGAGGACTTGGAAGCTCTGCATCCCCAGCCCTACCTTGCCCCATCCATCATCTGGTGTTCATCAGTGTCCTTTGTTAGGTCCTTAATAATCAACCAGTAAACATGTTTCCCTGAGTTCTGTGAGCTCGTCAAGCAAATTAATGGAACCCAAGAAGTGGGTTGTGTAAACTCCTGATTTATGGTGGCTGGGTCAGAGCAAATGTTAAAACAACCTGAGATCTGTGATTGGCATGGGAAGTAGGGGGCAGTCTTGCGAGACTGAGCAGTCAATCTATGGGATCTGATGCTATCCTCCAGTGTCAGAATTGAATTGGAGGGTATCTAGCTGGTGTTCGTTGCAGAATTGCATGCTTGGTGTATGTGGGGAAAACCCTCACACATTTGGTCAAATAAATCTTTGTTGATTGTTGAGTGAGAATATAGGAAAAGCACTTTGTTTATTCCTCTATTCTCAGAAGGCTGTTGGGGCATTCTGGTATTTTAGAAGACTCTACTTAGCTGGTCTAGTGTGTTCTTGGCTTAGGTTCTTTTTGAGGTTCAGGGTAAACTTTGTCTCAGCAGCCCAAAGAAATAATAAATTATTTTAATCTCTTGGATATTTTTACTCTTGGTTTAGGCTTAATGGCATTTCTGGATTTATTGAGCAGGAGCTCTGTTATAATTGCATTATTATCCATCCTCTCTCCCCCGTTTAGATTCCGAAGTCAGCTTTTTTTCATTCCATTGTTCTAGGTTCATGGAGTTATAGGTGGTATTTTTCCAGGTTTCCTGACAATGTTTCAAAACATGGAACTGTCTTAATTATCAGCTATAATTATTGTAATGGTATATATATTAAGCCTTTTTGTCTGTATTATGCGACTTACCAAGCAGTTGTTATGTTCTTCCTTTGAGTTGCTTTGTCTTTCACAACAGAAGGGTGATTTCATCCATGGCCTTAGGTGAGTTCAAAGCAATATGTAAAACATAATTTTGCTATACCAAATTCCATAGTAAGCTAAATGGTAAATTTTGTCGCAAATAAACATTCCCTTAATTCAAAGTGTGAAACACTACTGACAAACTTCACATGGCCACCCCAGAATTACTTTAATGTTAGTTTTGTCTGTAGAGAAGGGAAGATTGTATGTATGTGTATAATTTTGTGGGGGGTAGAGGCTTACTGATTTTATTCTTTCTTTGTTGTTGTTCAGCTTACTCAGGTTGAATGACTTTACCCTCTTCTGTCTAGGCTTTTGTCAGTTATGTTCTTCTTTCTCCTCCCACTTTTTCCAAGTGTTTATTGTTTTATAACAGTACTCTTGGCCGGGCGCGGTGGCTCAAGCCTGTAATCCCAGCACTTTGGGAGGCCGAGGCGGGTGGATGACGAGGTCAAGAGATCGAGACCATCCTGGTCAACATGGTGAAACCCTGTCTCTACTAAAAATACAAAAAATTAGCTGGGCATGGTGGTGCGTGCCTGTAATCCCAGCTACTCAGGAGGCTGAGGCAGGAGAATTGCCTGAACCCAGGAGGCGGAGGTTGCGGTGAGCCGAGATCCCGCCATTGCACTCCAGTCTGGGTAACATGAGTGAAACTCCGTCTCAAAAAAAAAATAATAATAATAGTACTCTTAAAAGTTAAAAGGGGAGATTTGGTCAGTTTTAAAATTTCAACTGAGAATTAAGGATATATGAAGTTTAATTTGTTGAAGGAACTCAGAGAACCTAATAAAAATTACCCAAGGACAGAACAATGTACGAACCAGCTTGACTGATTTTCTCATCTGTTTGTCAAGGAAACAAAAAGTACTTGTGTTTGTAGTGATTTCAGATTCCACTTCCCCCACGGATATTAATTATAGGACACTGGAGGAATGTACATCTTAGGGAGAATGTAGTAGAACCTAGTTATTCCTTTTGAAAAAAGGCAACAATTCCATCTGTGCTTTGAAACATTAAAGCTTTTCTGGCTAAGATAAAGATAGTTTTAAAAAATGCTTCATTCTTATTCTCTTGTTTAGAGAAAACTGAAATAGAGGCTCCTTGATGAAAGAAATGAAATGTTTAGCTTGCTGGGCTTAAATTTTACTAGTAGTTTGATTGAGGCCTTGATCTCTCCCTCATCTCTGTTTCTTCACTTCACTCTCTTATAATTAATTTCACTTACTTACACTTTCTAGTTCTTTGGAATCCATTAGCAGAGAGTTTCTTTATTACCCTTTAGTAAAAGTTGCACTGTGAAAGGAAAAAAGAATCTTTTAATGTTTGGAATTATAACTTAACATTTTTTGTTGTAAAAAACCTAGGATGGATCCTGAGCTGTTTTTGTGTTCCTTTGCCATCATGATAGTTTTCGAGTATACCATGATACAGTCTTTTAAAATGATGATCTTTGTGTCCAGGAGGCAGTATTACTTGAATAATTAAAATTCTCTTATAATATGTTATGTCCAAAGATGCAGAATCAAAAAATGAACTTTATTGAGTGCTGGACGGGCATGGTGGCTCGAGCCTGTAATCCCAGCACTTTGTGAGGCCAAGGTGGGCGGATCACCTGAGGTCAGGAGTTCAAGACTAGCCTGGCCAACATGGTGAAACCCCGTCTCTTGCAAAACTTAGCCAGGTATGGTTGCACATGCTTTTAATGCCAGCTACTCGGGAGGCTGAGGCAGGAGAATTGCTTGGACCCAGGAGGCAGAGGTTGCAGTGAGCTAAGATCGTACCATTGCACTTCAACCTGGGCAACAAGAACAAAACTCAGTCTCAAAAAAAAAGGAAATATTGAGGGCTTCCTCTGTGTAAACCTCTGTACTAGGTGCTGAAAGAGATGGAATTATAAGGAACTTAACATTTAGTAACTAAGATAGGAATTGAACCAATATAACTAGTTCTGGGAAGTATGATAATAAGTTTTATATGCTATAACAGTTTAGAATAAGTATCACTTTGATTAGATTGCCGGATCCTTATTGTTTACTGAGGATACTTACTAGCTATTATACATGTATTACCTATGATCTTGATGCCAGCTGTGCAAGATATGAATTTATAAAAGATAAATTTATAACAGATGAATTTATAAGTTTATGAAAAAATTATTTGAGTCTCAGAGAAGTAAATTGATTATTTGGGGGAAATTGTCAGAACATTTGTAGTGTAGGAAGAGGAAGCCATACCTGGTTTTAGGGTGGCCAAGCATAAACTTAATTTTGTTTTTGTTTTATATAAACAGAAGGTGAAGGTAAGTGGGAGAAAGAAAAGAAATACGGTGGATTCAAAGCCCAAGTTGCTTACAAGTATTCTGTTGTTACTTAATAATGCTCTTAAATTTCCAGTCATTAATGTAGTTAATTTTACAAACATATCACTAACAGTTTAGTAAGAAAATAACATTTACTGAGTTCATATTATGTGATTTCATGTAATATAACAATTCATTAGTTAATATATTGTTTTTATTACTGAGTAAATCTATTAGTGATACATATGTAAATTACACTGGTAACAGGTAAAATAATAAACTGTGTAAATGCTCAGTGAGGTTAAAATAACTTGTTCAAGGTACATAGATAATGAACAATAAATAGAGCCAGGTTTCAAACTTAAGCAGCCTTGACTCCAAGGCCTGCACTTTACCATTATAGTAGACGGCTTCCTGCTTCTTTCAAAGTATATTGATATTGTATAGTGTTCCATGGATAGTGTGGTATATGCAGGATGAAAGTTCCCAAACAGCCTTGGGCCTGCCCATTCTCATAAAGAAGCAAGTAGGAGAACCCACGTGTCTTCTTTCAAGCCAGACAGTAAACAGATTTGCAAAAATGTAAAACAGTTTACTCCCACTAAATTTTTGTTTTACAAAATAATAGTTATTTTTAATTAAGAAATAATTTATTGGCTAGATGTGGTGGATCCCTTGAGATCAGGAGTTTGAGATCAGCCTGGCCAACATGGAGAAACCCCATCTCTACTAAAAGTACAAAAATTAGCTGGGCCTATTTAGTGGCACATGCCTGTAATCCCAGCTACTTGGGTGGCTGAGGCAGGAGAATCATTTGAACCTGGAGGTGGAAGTTGCAGTGAGCTGAGATGGTGCCATTGCACTTCAACCTGAGCGACAGAGTGTGACTCCGTTTAAAAAAAGAAAAGGGCCTGGAAGTGGCTCATGCCTGTAATCCCAGCACTTTGGGAGGCTGAGGTGGGCAGATCACAAGGTCAGGAATTCGAGACCAGCCTGGCCAACATGGTGAAACCTCATCTCTACTAAAGAAAAAAAACAAAAAACAAAAATTAGTCAGGTA